TACTTATTTTAAGAACCCCAAAGAGGTATTGCAATTAATTATTTTACAAAAAACAAAGAAGCAAAAAAGTTAAATAACGTACCTAAGATCTCATAACTGTGAAATGACAGAGGCAGGATAGTTGGCTTGATTAGAGAGGTCACAGTCTTAACCACTATACTATACCACTGCAAGTATTAGTAATTAGATTTGTTGATTTTGGTGCCTCTCTTGTGTTGGTTAAGATGCTTTTCGTTTTAAGAAATAATTATGTGAAAATAATAGAGCACCTGCCCCAAGGAAGAAAAATCAAGTTTGAGCATAATAAGAATTTCCCATTAGGTGAAAACTTAACAGCAGAAAGTTAAATTTTCATAAATGTTGTCTTTAAGGTAAATTCAGTTCCCATAACTTTTGGAAAGGCAGAGGCAGGTGGATCTCTGAGTTTATGACCAGAGTGAGTCCAGGACAGCCAAAGCTACACAAAGAAACTCTGTCTCAAAACAAACAAACAAACAAAAAACAACAAAAAAAAACCCCAAAACAAACAAGCAAACAAAAATCTGTACTGCTAGAAGAAAATGTAATGAATGCAACTCAAGGGGTATTTGAAGTGGAGGAAATGGTGTTTTTTGTTGGGGTCATTGTTGGGAAGTAAGACTTAGGGTTTTTATTTTGTTTATTTCTTATTATTTTTAAAAGACATGCATGGTCTCTTTATATAGCCCTGGCTGACCTGGAACTCACTGTGTATACCAGACCAGCCTCTATCCCATAGAGATTCACCTGCCTCTGCTGGGATTAAAGACATGCTCTACCATACGCAGCCTGGATTTAGTTTTGTTTTAAAAAGTTCTCACAAAATGTGAAGTAGATAATTAGATTTGTGAATTTCAGACAAGAGACTCAAATTTGAATTCAGGTGACAGTTCAAAGTAAAAATATGAGTCCAGCTATTCTGTGGAGGATTTGGTATATAAAAATGTTTGGTATATCAAACATTCAATTTGATAATTAATAATTTAGTGATACTTTCTAAGTTGATTTTTGTCAGAAAAGTTGGGAATATTCATGTTGAGTTGGTTGATGTTTCTGTTTCTTTTGTAGCAAATTACCTTTGAATGACTGTGCTTTTTCTTCTTTTCTTTAGCCTAGATGTGATTATCAATGTACTCTTGATTGCTTTTGTTGTGCTTTTCTAATTTCTTTTAATTATTTTGCAAAGTGTTATTATTTTTCCTGAGTAATTATATATCAGTGACAAAGTGGAAAAACAAAAGTAAAAGTTATAATTTCATTGTTAATTAAAAAGTTGTAGTCTAATCATTTTTCTATGCACATAAAGAGGATGCTCATTTAAGTTAACTTTTAATAATAAACATTTATTCAGGAGAAAACATACCACTTCTAAAAAGTTATTTGCTTTTTTATCTGAAGTGGAGCCAGTCAGAACTTGGAACAGATTGTCCTTGCTTTAGAGAGGGCTCACATCAGTGGCCTTCATTAGGTATGTTTATATAAAACAAGGCGGCACCAATGGCTTTGGAAGGTTTAACAAGACCTTGGTTTGTTTGCTTGTTTGTACTTTGGGTTTTTTTTTTTTTTTAATCATTCACAATTTCAAAAATATATGTGACATACTTTAATCATATTCTGCCCTTTATCTTCTCTTAGTTCCTTGCCCTTCCATTAAAAAACTTCCTAATAAGACCCCCTGTTAATCTTTTTAAACAGAAACAAACAACTTTTATTTTTGTGGCCCAGTGCACATAATTAGAGTTGCTTGCAGGTGCATGGGTGGGTGGATGGGGTTATTTACTTTAGTAAGGAAAACTTACCAATGGCACACCACTGAATAATGTGACATACCCAAACAACTATTTATGGCTTCTCAGGGAGGTGTGCATTGTTCCCCCCTGCTCCTCAAAGCTGATAGCTGCACCAGTCATTATGGGCATAAACATAGTTATTTAGAAGGCAGTTTAAGATGCACATCATGTCCATGTAGCAGAACAACAGTAGTGGTTTTCCCACCTGGGCCCATGATTTCCCTAGGCATGGGCTTTTGATGGGTTTACAGATCAGGTGTAAATTCCCTCCTGTGGCATGGATTTCAGATCCATTAGAAAGTGAGTGGTTACTTCTGGAACAGACTTGCCACTCTGTACCAGTTACACTATAGAACCCCTTGTTTGGCTAGTTGTTAGTGTTGTATGCAGGGTCTGCAGTTAGTGATTTTTTGACAGTTTTACCCTAGCACTGTGCGTGCTAGCCACCAGGGAGGGACTTCCATTCTAGTTTCAAATTTACTTCTCTGTGTCTCCCAGATCGCCAGCTACTTAGAAGTTTTTGTCAGATAATTCTAAAATTTGTGTGTAGGAACTTATAGTCTTTCAAATCTTAGCCAGATCAACTCCTATCTTTCAGCAAACACTGTTTGCTGCTCTGTGTGCCAGACTGACACTATATAGAGCATTCCTTCCCATGGCCTGAGAGTTTTCTGAGACCAGCAAAATCTACAGTAAGAGCAAGGATAGAGAACATGCAAACATGTAACTTTCTCAGAGCCTAGTTTTATCTTTGTCTTCTGTTACCTAGGCTTTAATTCCTGCTCCGATTTTGCCACTGCAGCATTGATTCTTAGTCCAGTTTTTAAATCATTTGCTTATTTACTTGAAATCAGTTCTGCTGTACAATTATAGCTGTGTAAAATAAGAACTTCTTAGGTGGGGATGGAGACTGTGGTGCACCAAGAGTCATCTAACACTCCATAAATAACCTTTTACACACTTTCTTTTTTGTTTGTTTGTGTTTTGCTTAGTAAGCTGGACAAATTTGACTCTTTGGTTTATCAGTAGCATCACAGTTTGAAGACAGATGCTGCTTTTGTGGCTTTTGGTGAGAGTCATGCAATACTGTCATTTTGACAGTGGGATATATTGGCCATTTGCCAAGTAATTTGCGGTTGTTTGAGACATTGGGCATTTTATTAATTTTGTGGAGATGTCGATACTTTCTACTAGCACATTGTGAAAGTTTTTAGGTTTTGGCTGTAAATTTCTTCCTACATTCTCTGAACTATTTGCATCTTCAGTTGAGTTTTCAAAAGATTTGTAGTTTGGATCTTTCATGTGCATGCTGCCTGGTGACCAGTCTGGATCAGGCTAGTGGTGTCTGCTGGTTTGCTTTCTCTAGTCTTTATTAACATTCATAGGAGAGATCCATATATTCCTAGTTTGGGAATTAATTTAAAAGGCAATAAAAAAAACCTTTATTTTTTGCACGTGCACTTCAGAGCTCCCCTTTTTATTTGATCTCCCTATTTTCTCTTTCTGGCTGCTCTTTTGGTCCTCTAGGGAGAAAGTTTCACTGTGACACTTAACTTCTGCAGCAATAACCACTATTCAGGACCCAGGGGTAGGAGAGTAATGTACAAAGAACAGTGGGGAAGAAAAAACTAGGAGTTGGCCCATTGGAATTTTCTTGGAGAGGAAGTTTCTCTTCCTCAGAGTTTTGTGACATTAGGCTTTTATTACTGTAGTCTGGAACTGCCACGAAGGGGATTTTTCAGAATAGGGACACAGAAAAGAACGAGAATGAATAAAAACAAATTTGACCTTTTTACAGCTCCTTGAGTATTAAGACTTAACTTTTCCTTTAGTCAGAATTATAAGTTAACTTCTGAAGCCCTTCTGCTTGGTGCTCAGTTCTTATATGCTCAGTTTGAGTGATACCAAAGGAGAAAAAAGGGTAAGCTCACTGCTAGTTTGGGGCTGTTTCACATTTTGATGTCTCCCTGTTTCATATTGAAAGACCCCCACTCCATTATGAGGACATGGGGCGTTGGGCCGATGAAA